TATCCTTTATAGTAAAGACAGATGTAAAGTATTCATTTAACACCTCAGCCATACCCCATACCTCCATGTGTAAATCACTTTTTCACTCACTGAGGGCATCCACTTCTCCTTTCTCTCTGACTTTGGGAATTCATTTTTATGTTAGCTGGTAGTCTTTTCTCTTAGCTCCTCTTCTCTTAATTGCGCTTTTACCTCCCCCCAAACCTTCAGTATTCCTGTTGATCCTCAATTGCACTTTTTGCCTTACATATGTCATAAGCACATTTTCTCTTTCTAATGTTAATGCTGGATTTGTTTATCCTACCTTTTCCATTGGATTGAATGCACCTTGACTGAAACCGAACCATCTGCTGTTTGAAGCTGGCCCATTGTGCAGCTACTGGTTTTCCCCCCAACCACTTATTCTAAACAATCCTGCTCACTGTTCTCGCTGCAATAAAGTCAGCTCTCTGCCAATTGACTTTTCTTTCTGATTGTTACATGTCTTCCTTAAGCCAGGTCTCCATCACTGCCACAGCATCATAATTACACATTACAATCTGCACCCAGCCTTATTTACTCTACCGCATATATGCACGTCAACTCTATTTTGGACTTTCTTTCTCCCTTACTCCGACTTCATTTACCAACTCATGAGTGGTTCAGCAGTTAGCACTGCTGTCTCACAGCGCTAGGGACCTGGATTTGATTCCAGTCTCAGGTGAATGCCTGTGTGGAGTTTGCATGTTCTCCCCATGTCTATGTGGCTTTCCTCTGGGTAATCTGGTTTCCTCCCACAGTCCAAAGATGTGCAGGTTATGTTAATTGGCCATGCTAAATTGCCCCCATAGTGTTCAGGGATGTGTGTGCTAGGTGGATTAACTATGATAAAAGTGGGGCTATGGGGATAGGATGGGATGCTCTTTGGAGGGTCGGGGTAGACTTGATGGGCCAAATGGCCTCTTTCTGCATTGTATGGGATTCTGTGAACTTACTATTCTATATGATAATGCCAACTGTAGCCCTAAATATTTCACAAGCTGTGGTATTCTCCTAAACTGTTCTTTCTTGGTCCCCACACCCCTGCCAAGTTAAAGTCTTCTCAATGGCACTAGCAAAACAGTCTGCAGGAACCTCAGTCCCAGCTGTGTTTAGGTGCAAATCATATGGTTTGCATAGGTGCTATCTCCCCTACAGCCAGTCCCAGAATCTAAAGCCCTCCCACCTGCTGCACCATCTTTCTAACCACATATTCATCTGCCTTCTCCTCCTGTTTCTGTACTTGCATGCATGTGGTACTGTGAGTAATTGAGAGATTACTACATTTGTGGTGCTTCTTGCTAACTTTCTACATGGCTCCCTAAATTCTGATTGCAGAACCACAGCCTCCTTCCTACCCGTGTCATTGGTGGGTCACAACCACTGGCTGTTCATCCTCCTCAAAGGATGTCCTGTAGCCAATCTGTGATATCCTTGACCGTGGCACAAGGGAGGCAACATACCATCCTGGAATCATGTTGACAGTCACAGAAATGCCTGTCAGTTTCCCTAATTAATGATTCTCCTGTTTATTAATTGACCTGCTGTTCATTAAATCCAACAAATAAATCTATTTGACATTTCAATCACTTCCTCTTTCCCAATCTGCTGTGAAAATATTACTTTAATGGAGCGGGGTGTCCCCTTCAACAGCTTGGTCTTCAATGGAATTCAGAAACAAAGGAGTTGAAATGCCCCCTAGAGGAATATTGTGGAGTGCCTACAATTGCCTGTGTTTGATACCATCCTCATTCTGTTTACCTCAATGGCAAATTGTTAATGGGGCTCAAAGATTCAACCTTTAACATGAGAAAGAATTCATAATGTTCACCTGATGCTGCACACAAAACGGCCAATAATCTAGCAAGATCAAATCTACAGATACCAGCAAAGACCACAATCAGCCAGATCCACTGAACAGAAACTTGAGGAGGACACTTTCCAACCAGTAGCTACTCCATAATACTCAGTGAGCACTATTCTTGTGTCTTTGACATCCCCTTGGGTGAGAGGGATGGATGTTCCCAGGCAATCTTCACAAACAAAGGATGGGATGGCCCCCTCACATTAATATGACAGTTACAGGATTTGGGAGTCTGCTTATCTTTTCAATCAGTTATCAGACAATTTATAAACTGTATGTCACCAGATTAAAGTGATTCAAATACTAAATTAACAGTGACTAATACTGCAACAGCTATGCTTGATCTGGTCAGGGAGTTGGGAGGGAAAGCAGTGATTTGGTGGGAGGAGGGGAAGAAGCACACATTCATCTCTCTGGTATAGACATCCTGCAGACCATGTTAGACAATAATATGGCGCAGTGTCTAATCAGTGTACATCTAGTGAACAATGTGGAAAATTACCCAAATATTATGTTCACAAAAGAAGCAAGACAAATCCAACCCAGCCAATTACCATCGCAACAGTCCACTCTTGATCATAAGCAGAGGATGGGGTTATCAACAATGCACTTATTTGGCAAACCTGCTGACTGATGCTTACTTTGGAATCCACCAAGATGTTCAGCTCCTGACCTTATTACATCCCTTTGACATTCAATGGTGTTACCATCACTGAATACCCCACTATCATCATCCTTGGGGGTTACCATTGGGCACAAACTGGACTCGCCACATAAATACGGTGACTACATAAGCAGGTCAGAGACTAGAAATTCTGCAGCTCCTGTCTCACCAAAACCTGTCTACCAACTACAAGACACAAGTCAGGAGTGTGATGCCCATTGCCTGGATGGGTGCAGCCCCAACAACATTCGAAAAGCTTGATACCATTCAGGACAAAGCAGCTCACTTGATTGGTACTATATCCACAAACATCCACTCCCTCTACCCACCAATTCTCAGTAGCAGCAGTGTGTACTATCTACAAGATGCACTGCAGAAATTCACCAAGGCTCCTTAGGCTGCACCTATGGGAACACCACTGGCTTATTCCATGAATGAATAATAAAAGAAAACATCCAAGACTTTTGGCAGATGGTGGGGTAGGGTGTGTGAATAGTAATAGAGTTTACAAAGTGAGTCCTGCTACTTCGGTGCAACAAAATGAAGCTGTTGACAAAGCCTTTCCAGTCAACCGTTTGTAAGACAATCATCCCTTGGAACTCGCTGCTTGAACCTGCAGGAGTGTGAGGGTGGAGGAGGGTAACCCCATCTCAACTAGTTATACCCTAACCTCACACCCCGCCACTGATCCTGATAAAGACATTTTGACTTGTCTTTCAGGTGAGATGTCTGTACACTAACAAAGATGTAAAAGACCTCATGCTATTATTTAAAGAAGAGCAGGTCGGTTCTCCTGGTGCCCTGATTTAATTACTCCTCAAACAACATCACTAAAACAGATTCATTGGTCATCCTCACATTCCTGTTTATGGGAGCATGCTGTGTAAACTTTGGAAACCATATTTCTTACATGACGGCAGTGAATACTTTTCAAAATGAGGCAGTTAGCTCAGTAAGCTGGATGGCCGGTTGTGACAATGACTGATGCAAACGGTGTGGGCGTGACTCTCCTTCTCAATGTCCCCCCTTGCCTGAGGGATAGTGACCCTCAGGTTAAACTACTATTAGTCACCTCAGTGTGGAGCTGGAGGAACAAGCAAACCAGCCATCTCTCTCTCTGAATGAGATTAGAGTGAGACCATGGCGACTTTACCTTTTACTCTATAAAAGTACTTCATTGCTGTAAAATGATCTGAAATCTCCTGAGGCCTTGAAATGAACTGTATAAATATAAATGCTTTCTTGATTTATATTGCAGTTCATTCATCATTACCGAGTCATTATTCTGGAACATTCTCATGAATGAATGCTCCAACATCATGTGACCAAGATGGTAGATTGACACCACTTTCTCCAGGCAAACTATCTTTCAGCAATAGGTGTCATCTTGTTTACATCTTGAGAAAATGTTTTAGGAAAAGAAAATATTAACTCCTTATGAGTGATTTTAATGTGCTTTTGCTTTTAAACATTTTGCTGTTTTCATATCTTGTTAATAGTTTGTCGAGTTTATTTCAAACTTGTAAATAAATTTGATCAAATAGGCGTAACCATTTCTCTGTTGTGGTATTTTCCATCTTATGTCAGAATGGGAAATGGGATGAATATCACATAGAACTGCCACTGATCAGGGACTTTTAAACATTAACTAACAATTAGCATATTAGCCCTTAAAATAACATGCAGAAAGTTGCAGGGTTTGGCTCAGAGGAGACAGAGTCTGCCTTTTTGCCAACTCAACAGCCAAACATACAGGTATCTGGGAAATTACTAGTCTCTTGTGTACACCAAGCACAGTAACTTGCTGGATGGCATTGACTCAGTAATGGTTTTTAATTTGATCAGTAATACTCATTTTTTAAAAATATTTTTGAATCCCCACACTACTGCTGCACAGTGATAGTAGGAGGGCCTAGGCCCGAAACGTCAGCTTTCCTGCTCCTCTGATGCTGCTGGGCCTGCTGTGTTCATCCAGCTCTACACCTTGTTATCTCACTGCTGCACAGTGCTTCTTCTTCCCCCAACAACACAACCCCGTGTTCTGTGTGCGTTAAACGCAGGATCTCAATGACGACACCATGTGCAAAAGACTTAATTCAACACTTCCACCACCGGGAAAACAGCCAGTAACAAGCAAATCCCTATAACTGCAATGTTTACGTGAAAAAAGTGAGGGGGAAGGGTGAGGGTTAAATCAAGTAGAATTGGAGGGGGCCAGAAATACTCAATATAAACAATAAGTGACATATTCAACTAATATACTCAATTTGGTAAAACTGTTTGCTAAATCCACAATAATGCAATCATGTTTTGCAATTTAAGAAAAACGAGATCCCTAAGTCAAAAATAACAAAATGAAAGAGAAATTTACTAGCAGACCCAATTTCACCGAAAGCTGCGGAGAGCCAGAGTCTCAGTTCCAGCCCCTGGACCAGGTCGGCTCCGCCCTCCCTGTAAAGGGTTACAAGTCCCGGCGTCCGGGCCGGCCCCTCACTGTAAAAAGTTACAGCCCCATATGGCTACGGGCTCTGAGCTGGAGAGATGGCTCTGGCCTCCAGGCTCCGCTCTTGCCGCTACTTCTCGGCTCATTTTCTGGCAGCGCAGGCGTTCTGCAGCTCATCAATGAAGCGGCCTGACAGCTGCTCGGAAAAAGGTAGATTCTGTGGCCGTATTCCAGCTCCGGGCCCGGGAACAGAGCGGAGCGGAACAACCGGGAGGGTGTGCGCCGGGGAAAGGAGGTGGGGAGGGGGGAATTGGAGCGGGGACTGTAACAAAAGGAAACCAGAAAGATCCAGGTTTTGTTACAAAATAACCAGCGCTCCCTTGCTGTGAGATTGATACTGGAAATATTACATAAGTTTGCAATTTCGTAATAATGATAGAGTCTAATTGTGGCAGATTTCTCATCATTTCAAATTGTTTCATTTCAGTAGTTTATGCAGTCTGGTGGATTCTGACATGTATTCTATAACCAGAAGATTTTATGTTATTGTCTTTGTTACAATCGACAAGGATGTCTATTTTCAGGTTTTCTGCTCTTGGCCCTTAGCTCCAAGCTGGCCATTTCTACAGACACTGACAGAAAATCTGATGTAGGTCAGAGATAGTAGGAACTGCAGATGCTGGAGAATCTGAGATAACACAGTGTAGAGCTGGATGAACATAGCAGGCCGAGCAGGAAACCTGACGTTTCGGGCCTAGACCCTTCTTCAGAAATGGGGGAGGGGAAGAGGGTTCTGAAATAAATAGGGAGAGAGGGGGAGGCGGATAGAAGATGGATAGAGAAGAAGATAGGTGGAGAGGAGACAGAGATAG